GGGCTGATTGCCCCCCCCCCCCCCCCCCCCTCCCACCCCACCCCAAATGCATAGATACCTCATTTGAGGAGAACAAAAAGAGTTCTAAATCTGGTCAAGAGGCATTCTAAGCAGTGCATTTGCCGCCAGAGCAATAAAAATTATGAAAATGACAGGAGATTTCCATCATTCATCCAATAAGTATGCAAGAGAGGGCTAACCCCTTCGGGTCTACAGTGCTGTGCGATGTACGGCACGTACAAGGCCCAGAAACGGATCTATTGTACAGCACATCGTACGGTTCTTCTGATCGTTTTGCCTCGGAGACTCCAGGATGTGCCGGAACTCTTCCTCAATAAGATCTCAGTTTACAAGCAGTTTACCAAAAATGTCCAGTATGCGCTTATAAAGGGTTTATTTTTTATTTTTCCAACATGGTAATGGTTAAAATGCTTATGCGCACTATATAAACCATTTATGTTTTAATTTTTTGTTAGTTTAATAATCTTTAGTAGTCCTCATTCTTGGTTCCGCCCTTTCTTTTGCTCCTCACGACATGCCACCCTCGCGTTTGGTTCTGCAAATACAGCTGGCAGTAGTCGGAATGAGGAATGAATGGCTGAATGATCTGATTAAGTGCTTCATGAGGTGGGAGCTGCACATTCCAAGCTTTGCATTCCTTTTCCGTCTTTTCCTGTCACCGTGAAGGAGAAAGGAGAGAGAAAAAAAAAAGAAGCATGTGCTGCTGTGTGGTCCTATTATCCCTGTCATGACTAATCCCTGACATCCATATTTACAGTTACATTAATAACTGAGCCCGTGTGAATGGAAATCCCCAAATCCGGATCCCGTGGGGACAATGCTCTGAGTGTGAGGGCCAGGTGTTGTCCGGATTTGCCCTTTCATGCCCTGGCTCTCTCCCTCTGTGTGTGTGAAAAACCATGCAGACAATCATGCTGCAAACACTGCGACAAAGACTGAAAGATCGCATTAAAAACGTCCCCAGAACGGGGATCGAGGTGTAACGTGTGGGTCTGGGGCATGCTATCTGTCTTTCTCTCTTTCTGTCTCTCTAAAGCACGAAAGAGGAGAGAGACAGAGACAAAAGCCTTTATAGGGCTGGCACTATCGGATGACTGAGTGTAAACATCTTAGCAATGGCTTTGTGGCCGCTCAAAGACCCCGGCTTTTGTTTGCCTTCGTTGATGAGAGACCTATTAACGCCGCGAGCCGAGCCACTTCTCTGTCTCTGTCTCTAGGATCACCGCTCTGACAAACAAGACTTTTTTTCCAGGTAATCTTGGATAAATCCTCGCCATTTGCTTAGCTGTATAAACACGTGATTAACAGAGGCCGGGTAGCATACTCAGTTAGCTTGGAGGCTGGGGAATGCACACTTGTCTTTTCCTGCCATCACTTGTCTTCCTCTTTCCTCCTTCCCTTTGCCATATATTCCTCCTCGCTCGGCAGCACTTTATTCCTCGTTTAAAATTTATTAATTCACTCCTTCTATACAAAGGGGGGCGAGAGCTGGGACATAATGTATCCGTTCCACCCCGGCTTTTCCCGTGGGAATTTTTTCCTACTTCGCTCGCTCCTTTCCGGCGTATTTTTGGCATGCAGAGAATGACGGGATGCAGACGTTGCAGGTGTACATAACGTAATCCATCCTTTATTCGACTCACTTGTCCTGAAATAAAATGAGGGACAGGAGACGAGGAAACAAACGACGACGATGAAGTCTCTTTGGTACTGGATTGCAAGGGCACAATAATTTATCGAGACCATCTCGTATTAAGCGTATGACATCTGATAACGTGATGGAGTTCATTTATAAACGGAACACGAGTCATTCCGGCGGACAAATGAGGTGATGATAGGCTCGGTTGGAAAGGGAAGGGACTCCACTGTAAGTAGCATGGATTGGAGATCCCCAAAAAGTAGCAGGCGTTGCATGATGAGAAGGAGGAGGCATCGGCGGAGGCAACCACGTGAAACTTCCACTACCCGATACCATACTTTCCGATGCCGAAGTATGGTGGTGATGATGGTTGTTGTTGTGCTTGCTAACGTTATTGTTGTTGCTGCCGTTGGATTTTCTGGCCGTGTCAGCCAGGGACCAGATCTTTGGGACTCGTTTCTCCTCGCCCCTTTCGTCTTCATCTGTTACCTCTTTCCTCTCTGTCCTCTTTCCGGCCGATTCCTTGTCACCTGTGGAGGAATCAAGTCGTCCCTTCTGAGGCATGCGTAATGAAACATGAGTAATGACAGACACCGCTATCGGGGTGCGGTTAAAGTCAGCCGTTGTTAGGTGACTGTTGTAAACGACAGGCGGCTCGAATCCGGGAAAAAAAAAACCAGATGTGAACCTCATCCCGGCATGTGTCTCTTCGTCCCCGGTCCAATTACTTGTTTTATGATGCCTCTTATTAGACTGATAATTAGCACGCTAAAAGCCCTTGATATGCTCGAATTCTCTGTGGATGAAGCCCCGAGGACACGAAATTCCATTTCGACACAATCGGCGTTGTTTAACTCCTTGTACGTCCATTTCTTTGAGTTGTTGAGAGGAGACAAAGGCTGTCCCAAGGAAAGAGGCAACTTCAGGTGAAGCGTTAAATCTGTCTCAAATGAAGAGGAGAGAAACAAAATCTGTTATGATGAAGAGGTATCATGCCCAGCCGGTGTGGATATATGAAGTCTTATTACTCCGTTTCTCTCTCCCCCTCTTTCTCTTCCTTTCACTGGATATTTATCAAGTGTGAATGAGAATGCATCACGGCGACAGCCAGCCGAACAGGGGCTCCCCCTTCTTTGATTGACAGACAGCTATGACATGGTATTCAATTCACTCTCTCTTACCCCCCCTTTGGAGGAATATTATTCAATATCTGAGAGTGTTGCCATAGAGTGACAGCCAGCCCTCCCTTTCTCCCTTTTAATTACAGCCCCCTCTATTCGATCCTCTTGAGGAAACACCAATACTTCTCGATGGTAACATGTGTCCACCGTCTCTCCCTCTCTTTGGCTTCATTTTCGTGCCTTTCTCTTCCTCGACGCTGTGTATGCTAGCTGTATCAATCGATACTTAGCAGCGGATACTTTTTTTTTCCTCGTCACAGATAAGAGCGGCGTGGCGTGCAAGGCGTATATATTCAAGTCCATGCAGATTAAGGTTCGAAACTAATGGAAGGTGGAAACAGAAAACTGAGGAGTGTGATAAGGACTCAAATTAGCACTGATAGGTGAGGCCATGGGAAGTGTCAAGGAAATTGAAAAGGGCTCTTTGGTCTTCCCGAGATAAGAGGAGGCAAGCATGTCATTCTCATGCTGACACATCCAGGCATCTTTCGATAAGGACACCAATATTCCCACCTGCCCACCCCAACACCCGCCACTTTCCCTTCTTGGAACCGGAATCCTTGCATGCCTAATCTATGGGGAAACCAGGCTCTATAGATCATTCAAATACGGATCCCGATAGCAGTCCCGATGGTATACATAAGTCGTAAAACGATATGGAGTCTCTCACGACTCTCAGCTTTTATGAGTGCTCCGTGAAACCCTGTTTTCCCTCTGCCTAAGCCGTCTTGACTTACCCCTTATGAAGTTTCCGTCAGCTAATATGTCCTCCTTTTCCTGTTTTTCGTCTTTTTTGTCGTCTTCTTCCGACTCTGGATCGTCACCGACGTCTTCATCGACGACGTCGACCCGGTTTTTGGGCTCCCAGGTCATCTTGTTCTCCTTTTTGAGGCGACGTCGCGCGTTTGCAAACCACGTGCTCACTTGTGTCAACGTCATCTTCGTTATGATTGCCAACATTATCTTCTCACCCTATCCACGAAGGAAAAAACGAGAGCATGGGAAATTGATTTGTGGGAGGGGGGGGAATGAAGGCGAGGGGGGAAAGGGGATACTCACTTTGGTCGGATATGGATTATTGCGATGTTCATGGAGCCAAGCCTTCAGCGTGTTCGTGCTCTCTCTTGTGGCATTTTTCCTCCTCGCATTCAAATCCATTACGCCATATCTACACACCCAAGCAGAAAATCGTTGAATTCACATTTGGTCCCATGAATGATCATGTAGAATCGCATTGGAATAGGAAAGGCCACAACGGATACGCGGAAGGGCTATAGAGATTTAGGATAGAGAGGGGGGAAAGAGCAAAACTCGTATATATTGTAGTTGAATTGTGGAGGGAGTTGGGATAGAGGATGACGTTGCACCGAAGGGGAGTCTTTTCATGGTGGCGTGGGTGGGCTTTCAATTGAAGAACATTCAGGCTTTGGTCCTGTCCAACACTCCGGGACTACAGATTAGAAGATGATGGGATCCTGGCTGTCTCCTTCCCATTCACGACAGGAAGGGAAATTCCTATTCATCTACTATAGAGACCACCACCTGTGCAAACAGGATTATTGCATGGTCTCCGTCCCCGGTCCGGTCGGCGTTGCACTCCATTTTTTGAAAATCGATGCAGCGTTGCCCTCTATGAAGACTGATGACAACGTAGAACACATAATCTGTTTCTCCAACCCGTGCTCATGTTCACGTGATAAGCTAATAGAATGTTGGTAAATCTATAGCCAATTGATACGTTTCGCGTTTTCCACTTGCCTAAAATCAACTTATAACAAGGCTTCAGATTATGTTTAATCCTTGTAACCTGTCTCCTGCCGTCATTTTGACAATTTTCAAGTAAATGTAAAGTTATCGGGAAATATATGACGTCGTGTCGGACTATCTTCCATCGACGAAACATTCCGACAGGCGAACGGCGGCCTTCCATAGAAAGCCTTTTATGGCTCTCCTGCGGGTGCATGCGCCTGTGCGAGATGCCACACGGCAACAATCTCTTTCGGGCTGAGTACTTTAATTGGAAAGGTTCACTGGGATTTCATTGTACAAACGGCTTTTTTCCCCCCTGGAATTTATCGAGGAAATCCGAAAAGAGACATCGTCTCTAGGAACAAATGAGGAAAACTGTTTGCCGGAAGATTCCGTTGTGCTTCGCAACTTATGGACGTACAATACATCTTAACTGCAGGATTAGCTCTCTCAGGACGTTTGCAATCGCCACAAATTGATTGATTTATTTTAATTTAGAAACTATGCATCATGCCCACCTACTGCTCTTTACGTTTATTTCAAGAGCGTTATAAGGCGATTCGATGTCATCTTTCTTTAATATTACATTCATACTTGCGTGCGCCTTTATGAATAACATTTAAAGTAGAGAAACTTTAAAAATGAAGTGCCCGAAGAGATGAGGAAACCTCCAAACACTTCGGTAATTCCATTTCGCTAGCAGTAGAGAAATCGGAAACTTTTTCTTCCTGCGCTTGGTTCGAACAAAATCGAAAAGTACGTTTTCAGCCTTTTTTGGGTGGGTGAGTGCTCCGATTATGTCCATTATTCATTGAAAATTCTCCCGGGGAAAAAAAATATAATAATGGAAATTTCTTGAAAATCTAATATCTAGACAAGGAATTCTCTATAATTAACTCGATGGGTTGGATCTCGCGTTGGATACCATGAAGTTTGCTGAAAAGTAGACACACCTTGTGACGAAGGAGAGTATTGGCAGTGGCAACCACACCTTTTTTGCGAACCACCGCATGGGGTTTCCATTTTACAAACTGTCAAGTCTTAGGCTTCCTTTCGTGTAAGGTGAATAAACGGCGTTCTTGGGGAATTTTCCCTTTATTTGGTGGACGGAATATTCCGCGTGGTTTTGCAGGCACGGGTCAGAGATTGAATCCGATTTGAATGGAAGACCCCAGCCGTCCATCATGGCGGACTTTTTTTCTTTTCCCACTTCGCCGTCAATCATTTCCTTTCTTCGCGGTCCTCATTGTCATTTGACCTTCGATATGCCACCATGTCGGTATGGACTAGTAAGTCTGGTTATTCACAGATCCTGAATACCAGGCGAGACCTCAAGAAAACATTTTTACGAGATATCATCAAACCTCAGCCTAAAACCTGTCTTCTGTGCTTGACAATCGTCGAGGCATTAAAAAAAATTGATATGAAGGAGGTAAGGAACCTTGTTCCTGAGGCAATTAGACAACTAGACGACGTGAGTCTCTGTTAAGTCGAAAGACTGGAGTCTAACAAGTATCGTTCACTTTTATCAGTTTATCACTCGGACATTCGATTGCACGAATTTTCAGTTCCTTTTTTGGGCGTGTTCGCTTTCGTTTTAATGAGCTAAGAATTATGAGAAAAACCGCATGCCATTGTGTGTCCTTACATCAGGAACTGTGTTTGTCTGCGGTATAGAAATGCCTACAAGAGCTCAATGATTGATTTATTAATGAGATCTCTCGTATCTTGAGTTGTATCAAGAAATGAGGATATCGGTGGAATTCCACTCATTAGCCGGAGGAATGCCTTCCATAGGAGGAAGGCATACCTCCACTCCTGTTCATTCCATGGGCAGGAGTGACCCGCCTTGGAGGCATCCTAGTGCATCTGGCATCAGAGGATGGAGAATCCGCATGAAACGGTCACCTTAATAAATAGGTACCTTCTTCGATCTTCTTCGATCCGGAACCGAGAGGAAGTTAACATCTAATGCGTGCACGTCTCTTGTTTCTATGGTGCCTCGTGGCAGCATAGCAATGCAATTGAGACCAGGACACGAACCGGTTTATGACAATGACCTATATTTCCATTCTCATCCTCTACTCTCCTCGATCTTCACCGAGTACGGACCTTATATGGAGACATATTTATGGGTCCTGCGCATTAACACAAAGTGGGAGATTCCTTTTAGTTCAGGAATTTTCCAGTAATTACTCTTGTGCAACAATCACAAGGGATGGATCGTCACTCGTGTCAGAGATACCGACTGCTTGAGAACAAGTACCAAGTACCCTAATTGCCCGGAGGGAGAAAAATGTGTCCAAGTACGGAATTGTGTTATTAGCATTGTCAAAAGTGAAGCGTTTCCACGTACCTCAGTACCGACATTCTTGTATAATTCATCCATAAAATAATAAAGTCATCAGATTCCTCCTTAATAGAAGTTAAAAAATGAAACGGTAAATGCATACGATTTTAGCTAGGCAAAAATAAACACATTCTTGAAAAGCAAGAGGCCGGTCTCCCTTCAAGCATAATGAATGGTACTTGTACCTACCAGAGCATTTGGAAGTACAGATTCTAGAAATATACTAGAATTTCATGCATTCTTGCATTTTTACTCAAGTACTATTTTGTTTTAAATTGTTAGGTGCTTGCGCTTAAGTACGAATCTCAACAAGTATTTGTTCTTGACCACAGCTCTCTGTCAATTACAGAAAACACTGATTAATTCAGTCAGCTCACAGGCGGAAGTTGAATTGACGCTGTGTCTACATACAGAAACTTCAAGTGTGAGCCCCATGAAGTGAACTCTATGAACCACATCAGGAAAATGTATCATTCCAATCTAAATGAAGCTATGTCAGATCTTCATACATGAACAGATTTCAAGGGGCAGTTATTTCTTCACAGCTGTAGTGGAAGGGGCGAATTGATATATTCGCATCGTATTTTTGTCAAGGAAATACTGTTGGGGTTATCAACCTCTAGCCCTTCGTACGCGGTTTGCGCATAACCCTGAGGATTTTATCGTCGCTTTTGTCGCTCTCCGCAAAATCAAAACCATGACTCTCCAGCACCATGAATGTAATGGTTCTAACCGATAATCGCACATGCGAGCATGTGAAGATTCCGAGGAATACTTGAGTGCATTCCGGATGAGATTCATTGGTCTCATTGCCCACTCGAACGATGCAGGGAATGGAATCAATGTTTACCAGAGAGGCGTAAGGAGAGTCCTGTGCGGCGACTGCATGCACGTGATGAGCTCCGTAAGGGGCATAGACAGCGGCAGCGGCAGCGGCTGCAGCGGCGGCGGCGGCTGCTGCCGAGGCTGCTGTGCAGGTGGGAAGCCCAACAGCAGCAGTAACAGGCGACATCTTGGTTTGATATGCTTGCAGAGGTGATTGCTGCTGCAATTGATGACTTTCTGGGTTCGGGCTCCTACTTTCGGTACTGTCAGGCCGTTTCACCTGAACGACATGCAACATTCATGGCGGTGATTTATGAATTAGCTCCGGTTGCGCCGTTGGCGATTTAGAGACACTTGTACCTGAGGCGAAGGAGAAGTTGAGCCATTCGGTTGAAGATGAGTGAAAGCCGAAGCAAGTAATGAAGGGGAAGACGAAGAAGAAGACGACGACGACGAGGTCGTGGACATGATAAACAGTTCGTATTTGAGTTCACTTCCGACACACTCTACCACTTCGGTCAGGACATGGCTGCTCTAATCCCTTCAAGGCCGCGAGGACGCACATGGAAACACATACATACGAGACGAAGTACAAGGGAGAACGGAAAAAGAAAAAGGGGAAAAGATAGAAGATAGAAAGAGAGAGGGGGGGAGAGAGAGAGAGAGAGAGAGAGAGGAGAGGTTAGATGAGGGCCGGACGATGAGCTGCGATTGCGTCACATTACAGCCCGCCCAGTTTGCTCCCTGCCCCTCCCACTTTTCCCCCATGCCTCCCCCCCCCTTCCCGCTTCCCCCCTCCCCCTCCCATCCACTCCATTCCTCATCCCGCACTCAATTCGCCTCATCCATTCCCATAGCTCGAGAGGGAGCCCACATGGCTTTAGTTACACGCGATTTAACAACACTATGTCCCGCGACCTCATCCATGGCCGCTTCCGATATCAAATTAAAACATAATAAGGGGAAGGAAGAATAGGAAAGCGCGATTTTATTCATTTAATATCACGTTTCGGAGCAATCAAATCTCTATCATTACTCGTGATAGTTCACAAATGTTTTATGAACACCTAGAGGTAATGTTGTACAAAATTCCAAAATTTGTGGTTAGAACAAGATAAACGAGCGCAGTCTTCATTCCCTGTCTATTGAAATCTCCAATTTCGAAAGTGAGCGCAGGACCTTTTTTCTCCCTCTAAAGCGCTCACTGCCCTTTTTTTAGTAGGCCTATAACCATTATTATGATCC